CAGAAACTGGCCTTGGTCAGCAGAACGCTGCCCTGCCCTAACTTGGGGTGGGCTTGGAGGACAGGCCAGTGCGGCCCTGCTGAGCCAAGGACTTGGGGTGGGGGTGGGGGACGGGTACTGGCCCTGAAAAGGGGCCTCGTTGTCCCAGAAAACCAGCCAGGTGTGTAAGGGACAAAACTCTCCCCACGTTCAAATGTAAACGTCCACTGCTGGCCTGGCAGGAGCGTGGGCCTGAGGCCCAGAGCCCAAGTGCCCCGCAGCCTTGAGCCCTGCTCGTTGCCTGTTCTGAAAAGCTCAGAACCAGAACTGAGGCCTGGGGCTCACACCCCCTGCATCACTCACCCTCGAGGGCTCCCTCCCCTGGCTCCCCGAGTATACCAGCTCTGAGGCCTTCCCATGCCCAAAGCTGCCCACGCCCACGCCCTGAGGCACCCCTTGCCTGTGGGTGCCGCTGAGCCGGCTGTGACTTGCAGGGACCCGCATGAGGCAAGACAACCTGTGGGGGTCCCGGCGCAGACACTGGCCGCCCACCTCCTCTCCCAGCCACCGTCTGTCCCCAGGCCCGGCCCTCCTGTGTGTGCCCACGTGCCCGCTGGGTGTGAGCACCCTCACTGTCCCATTGCTGAGGGGCACTGGCATCAAGCAGGCAGGGTGGCAAAGTGACCTGCGAGCGGGAGTGAGAGCGAGAGTGGGTCCCAGCTCAGTGCACCCAGCCCTGTCTGAAAGCTGTGAGCCCTGTCCCCTCACAGGGCTGAAAGCAATGCTACCGACCCTTCCAGAACTCTCTGAGAAGGCGGTGGGCCAGGGTGAGATCAAGGTGAGTCTCAGCGCCTTGCCTCAGCCCACGTCTGTGTTCGTTCCTCCCTCCCTGGCTCTTTCACACATTCATTCTCTCTGTCATCTGCTGAGCAGAGGGGCCCTCCCCACTCCCAGACGCCCAGCTGAGGGTGCAGCAGGTCTGCTCTCGGGGGCTGGCATCTGGAAGTGGACACGGCCTGTTCCACGGCAGGGTCCCTGCAAGGCTGCAGGCCAGACCCCTGGGCAGTAGGAAGTCGGCTGCGGACGTGAGATACTTGCCTCTTCCCTAACTCAGCCGTCCCTTCACACCGTGCCCACTCTAGGTGAGAAGAGGACTGGGTGGGGCCTGCATGTGACTGTGGCCATCCCAGACGGTCACCTCTGATGGAAAGGTTCCAGAGAAGTGTACAGACTAAGAGACCAGGAGGAAAGGCCTGGGCAGAGGCTCCCAAGGACCAGCCACTGGCAAGGCTCTGACCTCTGACCCGGTGTGTGGGCCAGTCAGTGTCCACTCAAGGTGACAGCTCTATGCCCCACGTTCCCACGCTGCCCTAGGCACCTTTCCACCTCTGGCCCCAGCCCAATTCCCTCTCTGAAGTGGCTGTGTCACCTCTGCCACATGAATGCGACAGTTGGTCCACGACACAGCCCTGGAAAGGGTCTGAGGTCGCAGCCCAGGCCTCTGAATTGAGGGCCACGTCCCCACCAGCTCCGGTGCTGGGCTCCTTGGCTCCCAAGCAGGTGAAGATGGAACCCTGCACTGAGGTACCTGTGCCCAGAGTAGGGGCTACGAGGAGCTGGACTCTGGGTAACCTCTGAGATGAAGGAGAGAACATGGAGAACTCCCAGAAGGGCTACAACCACAGACAGGCTGCAGGGCTGAACTGAGGGGTCAAAAGGAGGGGCCTCCACCCCGGGGCATGAAGGCCCCTGCCATAAATGGTCCTGAGTCTCCACAAACTGTGGGGCCCGCAAGACACAGACTGGTCAGCACAAGGGACTTTGGGGGATGCCCCTGATGTGTGGTGAGGTCACTGTTTTCAGTGCTACATGCATAGGGTCTATGCCCTTGAAACTGGGGTGCCTCAGAACCAGACTCAGCCTCCTCCAGCGCCCCAGAACCCTTCCACGCAAAGCTGCCCTAAGAGGGGCACACAGCAAACGCCCTGTGGGGTTAGGGGTGGCTGGGCACCCCTCCTGCAAGCAGACCTTTGGGGAGGTGGACGCCTGCGCCACGTGGCAGGGTGGGGAGTGTGGACTGGCCATTACTGGCCTCTTGCAGCTGCGAGGACAGGCGGTCCTGCCTGACTTGTGTCATTTAATCTCCAAGTGTTTTCATTTCTCAGAAGATCTGAAATTGCAGAGGTCTGCGGGATTTAGGGGAGGAATGTGAAGGCCAATTTGGGCTGATTACACGATGTCTCTGGCCCCCTGACGGCTCCCAGAGCCAGCTCTGCAGGCCCTGGCCCCGGGCGGGGCTGACAGATGTTTACCTGATGTCCTGGCCTGAGTCTGGTTTGCGTTGGGAAATCAGACTGTTTACAGGACACTCCTCTCCCCTGGCCCCTCAATCCCAGTGATGCTCTGCAGGACCCCTCGGCTCCCCGTGGGACATCACGCCACTCGGGCCTCCCGGCCTTGGGCCTTGTCCTGGGACCCATCACCTCAGGGCTGACCACTGGGGACAGGGGTCCGGGGACCCTGGGCTGGTGATGGGACACGTGGGCAGTTGGCCCAGACTCCCATGCAGGACAGGCAGCCCCTCTAGACCTGAAGGTGAATGTAAGTGACCTCTCCAAGCGGCTCACAGGAGAGGGACTGGGCAGACGGGCAAAGAAATGTGCAAGGGAACCTTACAGATGGCCAGGCCCGCTGGTCCCAGAGAGACCGGTGGGACACCAAGAGCCCAGCCCCGAACCACCCTCAAACCAGGAACAAAACTCATCCCCATGTCTCCACTTCCTGCCCCACAACAGGCAGGCCTGGGAGGGGACTCCCAGCACCAGGGAGCACTTGGCGCTGACCCTTTTTGATCCAAAGGGCAGCACCTGCCCAGGCAGAGTGCCCTGAGGGCAGGTGGGGTAGGAGGAAGGATGAGTGGAAGTGAGACTCACAGAGAGAGAGAGGGAAGTGAGGTTACATTAACTTGAAACCAAAAACGTGTCGGTGGTGGAACTGAAACCACTTGGTTTCCAGATCAGTGAACTTTCACTCAAATCACAAAAAAGAATAAAATCTATTTTCCAATATTTGCTGCCCTGGGCTGCTAAAGAGTGTTGAGTGAGTTCACAGCGCGAGTCCAGGGCAGGGCAGCCCATGCTTCCTCCGTCCTCAGGGTCTGTGAGTCTGCCATCTGGGTTCCTGTTCATGCCTGTGCCCACTTTTGCCACATGATGGACAGGCCTGGGAGTGGACAGTGACACTGGGACGCTCCTACGAACAATTAAAACATCAAACAGGGTTGTCCAGGATTCTGGAAACTTCTGGTCTTGGAGGAGTCCCATTGCAGCAACCTGATGAACTCACTCTACAGTGCAGAGGCTCGATAGTGAGAAGTGAGGACCAGAGGGGAGGGGACCCCAGGATGCTGGAGCCTGTCACTTGGCCCAGTGCACATGATGCTTTCATGCCCTGCCCAGGGCCTAGCCAGAGGACAGGTGAGGACAGGTGAGGGTCAGAGCCTTCCTAACCCCAGCAACAGAACCAGTCTCGCCCCTCTGTTGCTGGGTACTAATGGAGTGGCCACCCACAATGACCCCAGGCACGAGAACCCTGCCCAGTCCTGCTGTCCTTACCACCACTCTCCAGAAGGGCTTCCCTTTCCTGCTGCCCCTCGGCTGGAGTCAGTGAAACCCCAGGGAGTGCAGGATTCAGCTCTGGGCCCTTCTGCTCCATGGCAGGCTGGACGGCTGCAGAGGGGAGCCCCGATCTCTTTAGGGCCTTGGCGTGTGTTAACTGACCTCCAGAATCTGAATCAAAGGGGTCATTGTCGCTGACGCCACAACTGGTCATTCTGGGGCTGGGGAAGTCATCCGTCCTGTGTACTTGCTGCCACCAGATGGCACCGTGCATCCAAGCCCGTACCAGTGGCCAGTGGAGGCCAGCCTGTGTGCGTTCCCTGCCTCACTTGTCGAGCGGGTGGTGTCACTGTCATAACCGTTTCACAGTCTCGATGAGTCCCTGAGGGTGTAAGGACCCGAGGCCTAATCAGGACCCGGAGGCAAACAGGGAGAAAGTGGGACAGGGGACTTCGGTGCTGCTACCATAAGAACCCACACTCCAGGGCGCTGGGCCTGGGCCCAGGAGGGGAGGGCCTCATCACAAGATCAGGATAGGGCCCAGGAAATGGACGGGATCCTGCCTCAGGGCAGGACACAGGCTGAAGACAGGACCCAGGGTCGGGGAGACCCCGGGTCAGGCTTCCACACACCTCTGCACAGCACCACTCACACAAAGGCCCAGGCACCCTGTTTACATTGTCATCAAGAGGCCCAGTCCCAAGGGAGCTCTGGTGGCCTAGTGGCAAGATGCTGCACTGCAATCCCAGAGGTATGCGATTCAAATCCACCAGATGCTCTGCTGGAGAAGGAGGGCAGGCAATCTCCTCCTGTACCAGTCAGATCTGATTTGACGGTACACATAAAAATAATACAATAAAAAATTTAAAAAAGAGCCCCAGTCCTCTTAGGGGCCCATATGAACCTCATTAACCGCATAGCCCCACCCAGTTACTTGGTGGAAGTTACAAACACATGGTGAGCCAGGTTTGTGAAAGGCAATCACAGCCCGTAACCCAGGACAGGACACCAGCTGCAGGTCCTAAGCCAGGACGGTGAGGGCATCTGAGACCAGAAGTGTGAGGAGCTGCGGGTGGAGGCCTCCATTCAGAACCTGCATGCCAGTGGGCCATGTGGGGGCCAGGACCCCGAGTAGATGGCCACTGTGGGGACGTGGGGCAAGTCCAGAGGCCGATAGGTCTGGACAGCAGCAATAGTCCAGCTCCAAGCCTTCACTTTGACCTCTGACCCTGTCAAGTGTCATGACAATCTCGTTCCCACCCTGGTCAGCAGGGGCTTCAGAGCCCCCAGCCCCCACTGTCCAACCTGGGAGAGGCACAATTCCCAGTCCCGCCACCAGGTGGTGCCCTAGGCATGCCCAGCAGACACAGCCCCAGGGGGTTCCTGCCCTACGGACTGTGGCCCTTAGAGCTGCCCTGGTGGGGCAGGGGGCAGCCCGAGAGCAGCCTCCTCCAGGAATTCTCCAGGCCCAGGTGCGAGGACACCCAAGAAGGATGGCTCTGCTCCCCGAAGAGCTGCTGTGGCCACCTCTTTGTCCTCGGAACTGACCTCAGAGCAGCTGTGAACCCATTTATGGGTGAGGGAGTCAGGAGTGGTGCCCTGTGTCATGTGATGGAGTGCAGGTGGGCATGGCGGCCACTTGGGGAGGCTGCCTGTGTGTGTTCATCCCTGAGGCAGGTCCAAGGGACACAGTCATATCACACTGTCCATGACCATTCTGAGGACAGGGACAGCTTGGCCTTTGAGAGCCGTGTGAGTGTCCACCATGGGGTGAGGGAGGAGGGGATGTGGATCCTATCCTGAGTCCAGGCTGGTCCAGGTGTGATGATCTAGGGTGTGAGCCACAGGCCTCCCCTGCTTCCATGGCCACCCGAGTCCTCTCAGGTCAGCGGCAGGCTCAAGAGAAACACCAGGTGATGAGACCACAAAGACCCAGCGTGTAGGGGCCACCCGTGCTCATGTGACGCAGGACACAGACCTCACCGGGTGTTTCCAGGGTCAAACGCGGCCACAAAGAGCAGACTCCTGGGGGAAGGCACACGCAGGGACAGGACAGTGTCCCCAGAATGAATGACTGGGCAGACACGGCCAGCTCTGGCAGAGGTGCTGAGGCCCGAGTGGACCCTGGAATGTGGGCTAGGTGCCTGAGGCCCAGAGTCTTCAGTGGAAGTTCTGTCCTCCCCGGGCATGTGGGCTGGACCAGGGGAAGGCCCATCTCCTCGGAAGCACCAGAGGCCTTCTGTGCTCTGTTCAGCCAAGGAGCCAGGGGCTGTGGGTGTGTGGACGCAAGCACCCAGGCCCACGTAGACCACCAGGGAGCTGCGCTCCAGAGCCCCGAGTGCGACTCAATCTCAAGGCCGTGGCTGATCAGCCCGACTCTGCTGGCTGGCATTGGAAGTCGGGGGCGGGGGTTAGTCTGTGCCTTTCTGTCTCATGACACAGGCCTCTGAGACAACTGTGTCATGGGCCCAAAGGCAGTCAGTACCATGGGGATGGGCCTCTGGTCCAGTCAGAGGACCTGCAACCCTGGGGGACTGTCCAATCTCTGCAGCTTTTTCTTCTGCTTGTTCTTTAAGTCATCCCTGTAGGTAAACCTCAGTCCACACAAGAAAAGTTAACAATGGGTACCAGTGTGGAGACAGGACTCCCAAACAGAGACCTATCAAGCTGTTAGCTGCCACATAGCACGTCATCCCCCAAGACCCAAATGTGTCAGGTTTGGGTCATCAGATCCACGACCACTGTGGAGAAGTGCAACCAGAATGGTCCTCAGGGACAAGGGTGGGTAAGCAGCTTCTCAGGAGGGCCCAGTCCCTGGAGAAGGACATGAGGCTTTACAAAATGAGGGTCAGTGAAAGAGAGGAAGACCCTCAACCAGATGGGCTGACACAGTGGCTGCAGCCATGGGTTCAAGGACAACAGCGATTGTGGGGACTGTGAGGGGTAGGTGTCGCCATGTGGACAGGAAGTCACTGAAGTCAAAGACAACCCTATGTGGACAGGAAGTCAGAGGGAGTCAGAGTCTACCCTGTGTGAACAGGGAGTCACTGGGAGTCAGAGCCAACTCTACAGCACATGACAACCACCACAGTGACCATCAATGGAAGCACAACATCAATGTCCACCACACAACGACCACCAACATCACCATCACACCCACTACCACCACCACAGTGACCACCAGAACAACAATGAAAACCACACAACGACTACCAACACCACCATCACAATCACCACCACCACCATCAGCACCACAATCACAACTATCACAAACACTACCAGCACAACAATAATTACCACCACCATCACAATCACAACCTCCACTACGACCACCAACACCACCAAGTGCCATCACTACCACTACCATAGAATAAACACCACTGTCACAACCATCACCACTAACACCACCATCACAACCAACACCGCCACCATCAACACCACCATCACAACCACTACCTCCACCATGACCACCAACACCATCACCACCAATACCACTAACACAAACATCAGAACAACCATCACCACCATCACAACCATTACCACTAACACCACCATCACCACCACCACAATCACCACCACCATTATCACCACCAACACCCAACCACAACCATTACCAACACAACTACCACCATCACCACCACAAACACCAACACAATCATAACCACCACCTCCATCACTACTACCACCAACAACAATACAAACACCTCCATCACAAACACCACCAACAACAACACAAACACCACCATCACCACCACCAGTTTCAGAAGTGTATGACTAGGATTCTACTCCTCCTCCACCTTAGTTTGGAGGCTCCAAGTCATGGATTTAGTTGTACATCCAAAAACACATGTTTGTAAAGGCACGACCTAGAAGTTTTTTCATGATCCCCCATGTAACCATATTGTTGTAAAAGAATTGTGAGTGGATGTTATACCTCTATCCCATTCCCGTCCCTAACTGGCCCTGGCCGATGTGAGGGGATGTCCCCTAGGATGCGGCCTGTGATGGATTTTATCTCACTGCTAAAAGGGGATGACTGCACGCCAGGAGGGGAGACCTCGATACCATCAGGAAAGAATTGTCAAGAGTGGGGTGTGTCTTCAGACTGTCCACATCAAATCACAGCAAGGGGGTGATCACATCATTACATAACTGCAGATATTACCCCATTATACACGTGTCAAACCCCTGAGCTTCATGGTCTAGCCCTGACGGCACACATTTGGGAGGAGGGGGAGAGAAGAGGTCAATCCATGTTGAGCTACCATGATAAAACGGCTTCAGCAAACAAGCATGAACACACTTGAATGTGAAGAAATCTCAGCATATTAATTCTTGTTGCTGTTGTTAGGTTTTGTCGAGCCAACTACAACCCATAACGACCCCATGAATAACAGACCAGACCCTCGCCCTCTCCTGCACAATTCTCACTATCTCCTCTTTGTTCCAGCCCGTTGCTGCAGTCACCGTGTCAATCCACATCATTGAGGGTCTCCATCTTTTTCACTGACCCAGCATGACCTTTCCTTTCACAAGGACTGGCTCCTCCCAGCATACCTGAAGTATGTGAGTGAACGGTTACCACCTTTGTAAGGGGCACCGTGGCGGAACTTCCCCCAAGACAGACTTCTTTATTCTTCTGGCAGTCCATGAGTTAGTCAGTGCTCTTCACCAACACAACAATTAAGGGAATCAATTCTTCTTTAGTCTTCCTTATTCATCTTCCAAATTTCAAGGGCATAATAAACTACTGAAAATACTATTGCTTGGATCAAAAAATTAGTCTTTAAAGTGATATCTTGCTTTTTAGTATTTCCAAGAGGTCCTTAACAGCATATATGCCCAATGTAATATGTCTTTTGATTTCTGGACTGCCGCTACCATAACTGTTGATTATGTACCTGAGTAAAATAAAATTATTGACAGCTTCAATCTTTTCTCCACTTATCATGATTTTGCCTATTGGCCCAGTGGTGAGGATTTTTTTTTAAATGTTGAGATGAAGGCTTTGATCCTCTGCAGCAAGTGCTTCAAGTCCTCCTCACTTTCAACAAAAAAGGTTGTGTCATCTACATAATGCAGATTGTTGACGAGTCTTCCTCCGATCCTGATACTGCATTTTCTTCGTAAAACCCAGCTGCTCAAATGATTTGGTCAGCACACAGATTGAAAAGGTATGGAGAAAAGATACAACGCTGACACACACCTTTCCTGTGTTTAAGCCATGCAGTGTTTTTTTGTTCTGCTTGGAAACACACAGCTTCTTGGTCTAAGTATAGGTTTCAAACAGGTACAATCAAGTGTGCGAGAGAGAAAGAGAAGAGAGAGGAGAGAGGAGGGGGAGAGGGGAGTGGGGAGAGAGGAGAAGAGAGATGAGAGAAGAGACAAGACACAAGATAGAAGAGACAAGAGATAAGATAGAGAGAGAGATCAAATGATCAAATGGAAATATTTTAAACTTACAATAATGAAAGCTCCGGAGAGGGCCCAACAACAGTGGTGAGAACAGAAGACTCTACACACTGGGCACCAGAACTGAAGCCCCTGTTGAGTCTGGACAGTTGGGAGACAACAGACTGGAGGAGAAGGAAGAGGCCCACGGTGGCCGAAGGAATATGGCAAAGGTTCTAATGCACATGTTATCAGAACCCAGAGGAGAAGAAGGAAGAGGAAGAAAAGTACTTGGAAAAAACACTGAAAACTTCCAGCATTTTTCAAGATACATAAATTTACAGATTTAAGAAGTTGAGTGAATTCCAAGAAGGATAAGCTTAAAAGGATCCATGTCAAGATGCATAATTTAACTAAAAACTCAAAAGTGAAGTGCTGAATACCCCAGGCGCTGTCAAAATAACAAACAAATCTGTCTTAAATGAATGAGGACAGATTGCTTCTTAGAGGCAAAGATGGGGAAAGTCGTTCTCACATATTCTGGGTGTGCTATCAGGAGAGGCCAGTCTTTGGAAGAGGACATTGTGCTGGGGAAAGTGGAAGGGCTGAGCAAGAGGGGAAGACTTTACGAGATGATTGACACAATGACAGTAACATGAACTCAAACACAGCACGACACAGGACAGGACAAGGTCCAGAGCTGTTGTTCATCGGGTTACTGGGAATCATAGTCAATTCAATGGCACCTGACAACCACACCAACAAGTGAAGGAGCTATCCTGATGCAGCAGATGAGAGTGGCACCTTATCAAACGGCAGTGTGCTTCTCCCAAGAAACCAGAGAGGCCGGAATGAAGTGTTATGATACTGCTTAGGTGCTGAAAGAAAGGAATCATTGACTCACAGTGCTAAACACAGGGTAATTTCATTGCTCAGGAATAAAGATGAAAATGAAGACATTCTCAGCGGAGGAAACCAGTTCCAGCCCAAAGCCCCTACCCTGAAGGAAGCTGTGAAAACAGCCAGGAAACAGTATAAGCAATCTTGGGTGTGTGTACAAAACAAAGCATTCTTTTTTTTTTTCTATAATTATATTTTATTAATTTTCATAAACATTTACAGAGATTTTGGGTTTCCATTCATTCATTGTTGCACTATTCTCTCTACCCTCCTCCCAGTTTGTTCTTGTCCAAATGCCACAGTGCTTGTCAAAGCCAGTTCTAATTAATCTTCTTTGTCAGGGTGTCCTTTGCCATTCCCTATCACTCCTCCCTGAGAGAGACTTCACCCTGAGTCATAAGGAAAAGGGGATGGCGTATTCTCTTAGCTACTTCCTGCTGAAAAGGGACGCTGTGGGTTTCAGGGTGAAGATCTTCTCTCACTACTCTAAAGGGCCCCTTTGGCAGTAGGAAACACATAGACTATTATGGAGACTGATTTTGGAATTTAGATGCACTCTTATTGATTGTGCTTGGCCGTACATGTTCATATCCTTGAAGATGTATCATGGGGCAAAGCACTCTTTTTTCATTCAAATATGGCACTCAATTCATGTTGCATAGTATTTCCCTAAAAAATATGCATATTTGGTCTGAACCTTTTAAAAAAAATTCTGAAATATTACTTCTTGTGCTTATTCAGTATATCTGGGATGAATCAGTCAATGTGCTGGAAAACAAAGGAGATTGTACTAAAAGCAGTATAAAGACAGAATCCTTCTTACAGGGAAGAACCACAAGTTGGGCTGTCAGTGTGTCTACCTGAAAATCAGAACAGAGAAAGTGTTAACAAAAAACAACATTGTTTTTGAGATGTCCCTCAAAAAATTGGTAAAATTTTGACAGGACTGAGCTTAAGAAAAGGAAGACACAAGTAACC